ACGTTGGTTAATTGGTAAGCCTCTTTTGGTATCTTGTGAAATCTGCTAGTAATATCAAAAATATTTCACTTGTAGAGAAATAGTACTCTTTCTAAAACCGATATCTGGCTTTGTTAGAAAAAAAAGCGCCATCAATATAGTAGCCCATAAGAGATTTTTAGATAATGTCGACAGAGGATCGTTTGAACCCGCTATTTTTACTAAACTCCCAGATACTTGAAGAAGAAATTATTTTTACTACTAAAATAGTTTTCCCTCTAAGTTCACCTCCCGATACATTAGAAAAAAAAACTATTGCTTTCAGAAAATTGACTCCCTGTCCTAGATAACTGTTTTCTATAATTTTGAGATACCAAAAAATTTGTGCATTAGCATATTACGAGGATCATCAGCACTAGTGGACAAAATCCTTGCAAAAGTCGTACTTCAACGAGCGAAACGTATTGAACATCTTTTTTGATCGTATCGGTGTCCGCTTTCTGTCGGGACATTTGACAAGGGAGATGGAAGCAAAAATTCTTGTTCCAAAAGTAGAAAGTCTAAAGGGCAGTTATTTTACCGTTAGTGAAAAACGGTCGAAACTGCAAATGGCTACATTTAATTGATGGGAAAAATCTTAGTGGAAACCCCTGCTGTGTCCCTTTGATGACTACTCTGCTTGAACGCGTAGAATCGATATAAATGGATTGCTCAGAACTCAAGACCTAGCAGCAGCGTCCTCCTTTCGGACTCAAAATAGAGCGGGTAAATTGTGTTTTGCATAGCATACATTTGGTATCAAGAGAGCGCCTTTTACTTGTCAAGTTCGCTAGGTTGACATTGCCTACAGTTTTGTCATTTCGCCAATCGCGTGCGGCGGCAGAGGGCTCACAAATGCCCGCAAAGGAAACTAGAGAAGGACGGAGCAATTATCCCTCGACCTGCCCCACCGCTGAATTAGGAACATTTTTACACGACGTAAATACCTCTGCTTATTGGCAATGTTTCGCCCAATAGGGCAATGCAATTGCTAAAGACAACTACGTTTTTAATAGCAGACAATGAACGCCACGTTTTAAGCACAAGCCGAACTTTATGGGACCCAAAAGTTACGCACTATTGCTCATTGTTCATGAAACTGAGTTGTTGTTAGTAATAAAAAAAGGTAGAATGTAGTCACTTGGGCAAATTGGGAGTGAATAATTAGATAACAGCCTGCGTTCTGCTTGTCCGACTTTTCGATAGACAAAGTATTAGTACAATTGATTTGTACTACTGCGCGCGTCCGTAAAGATATCTATTAAACCGGCTTGAGCGTGTCTATGTGGTACTTTGTTGAACCTCATATATTTGCATAAGAGAATATCTGAACGCTATTATGAATAGATGAACAAGTGAATAGATATTACTGACAAGTTGATGCATCAAAACCAAAATGTCGATCACAAACTAGACCGTATCAATAAACGGCTCTCCTAATTAACCTAGTCGTTGCCTACCGATGTGCCTTTTCCTTGTGGCTTCTACAGTGATAGACTACAAGAGGTCTACATATATTCCTTATTTGCGAAAAGATATGATCTGAAACTATACTATATGAAAGAACAGTGGCTGCCATTTCTGTAAAGGACCAAGCTTTTCTGCAGCGTTTTCTTGTCGTACTAGTTGAATTGAAGTTTTCAATCGTATCGTCGTTAAACATTTTACTGTATTACATTTAGACATTCGTGAAGGTGGAAGAGACCAAATGAAAAAAGTTCATAGGCTGTCTTATTAGGTAAGTGATTTCTGCATGCTGCCCACGTAGCGAGAACGCAGTTGGTCTGTTTAAACTCTGAGTGACAGCGGTTATCAATCCTATTATTGGTGTCTTGCACTGAACATCTATACAGTGACTATATATCGATAGAAAACTCGAATCTCTTAATTCGAAACAAGAAAGCCTTTAGAATAAATTCCAGCCGGGTCAAATAGGTGGTTTCCTGAATGAAACAATCTTCCGAAGGAGCTTAAAAGAAGTCCATGATTGCAGACAGATTTGAACTATTTTGTAAAATACTGTACAATGTGCAGGTATGACCTTAAGTAATGAAGATTGGCATAATACATCACAACAAAAACTTTGCACCTTTTCATCGATGACTTTGTAAAAGTCTAATTTACATTCACTCCATCTGAAAGCAATAAACTCCATCTGAATATGCTCGTATTGCTAGATAAATTAAAATCTAACATAAAATAGAAGCAGAGTTAAATACCGTATGTTGGTTGTACCTGTACAAGATGATGCCCACCATCCCGTGAATAAATCAATAATAAAACTCTACTATTTAAATAAATGTATATTGTTTCACGAAAAACTCCAAAATGTATATTTATATATACTGGCCTTCTTCATGCAAGCGTTTCCGTTCTTGAATTAATAAGTAAATCATAAAGAGACAAACCAGCCATCGCTTGACAAAAAAAAGGTTACTCGCAGTACACTCATTCGCTTGATTCGTGTCGATGAATCAATTTACAATGAAATCACCTAAAAAAACTCCTAAAATTCTCGACTTTTTTTGGTATTAATCTTCACTTGATACATACAATAACCTTGGGCTTACGTAGAAAACTTTGCCGGTCCAGTCTGTATCTTCTCTCACGTGGAAATTATTACAAATCCTTTCCACAACACGGCAGCGCCTCTGAGTGGACCAGACATGATACGTCATTCGTTATAATATATAGGTCTGTCCTTGTGAGCGAAGTGAAACAGTTTCGAAGCTTATTGCACATATACCAGTACTGAAATGTCCCTATCCCTTAGATGCCTGTCTGTCACAGTCGGTATACTATGGTAAAGAGGGAGAGCCCATCATGTTCAAGATAGTGAAACCTTCAATGCATATGGCCTCCCTGGACAATGACATGACTGCATAATGCTCAGGTAAAGTAACGTGCCACCTCTAATATAATAATAAGAAAATAGTAGGCGAATTTGAATCTTTCAGTACCGAAGTCAACGATGTGTTCTCTTGTGAATAACGTTTATGTGTCGGGATACATGTTCATATGGACGCTCAAAAATGCTGATTCTCTGACTCTTACACAATCTCGTAGTTGAACCTATGTAAAATAGATCATTTCTATCTGGATCTGACGCTTCCATGGTAACTCCTTCTACCGGTTTGGCATAAAGGTGCGTTTAAAGAACAGACTGTAATATTTAAGCACATATAAGAGAAAGCCAAGTTAATACACGTTATAGAGAAATTGTGGTGAGACGACACACTAATGATGATTACTATCACTAGGTAAAAGCTGTCTTGTCAGACATATGCCAGCGTCGACTTCCTGTTACTTCAAACACAATACTATACTCTCTTGCAATAACCATGTGTAGCGCAGTTTTTAGTCTGCAGTCCTCCTTTGCTCGGGCTGTACGATCAACATTCGATCTAAACGATGATTGGCTTGGATCATGTACATAGCAATACTTTTCTCATGCCCATTAAACAGAAATTCAGATAATGCATCGATCCTGAATTGTTAGACAGTCTCTCGCAAGGAATTTTCGTCAGATGAAATCAAATTTAACAGAGTTCGTCACACGAGTGGAAGTAAAAGAGATACACAGGCCTATTTAAAGCGATACATTAACGCCATAACACAACGAGCTGCCTTCTGGCCTTGAAAAAACATACAAAACCTTATTATGCCAAATAGTGCCTCAGAAGAAAGTAACTAGTGGTACAAAACATCGGTCCATTTTTGAATTGGGCGTACGGAAAAAGTAGTACATGCACGTGAAATTTGAAAAGACTTGAGCCTATCTCTGTAACAATTCCATGTGAATTGACATGCCCCGATCTTTTTAAATGTCCTTCTGAAAGTAGTAGATCTATGTTTATTTAGAAATAAGTTGTCAGATCATTGAACATGGCTCATAGAATGTAGAAGCGACCCTTCAAATGAAAACGGAAGTACCTACGCGCATTAGTGATATGTGAGCCTTACGTCAAAACCATTAACTGCAGTTTGAAGAGGGATAAAACACACGTCATACTAGTGCAAAATCGTGAAGCTGTTCTAGACAAAAACCAGCTCTATGAGAGATATATGTTCAAATCAAACATGATTGACTGAAAAACCCGCAACATCCGAACAAAGACCGAAGTAGAACCCAGTACAATTTTCGCCACAGATTTTTATGTTGAACTGCTGTCATCGCAGATTAAATAAAACACGAGAAGTAATATATACTTTTACATCTCAAATGCTTCCACCGTAGTAGGGCAGTCAAATATACTGGCACTGAACTTTGGTGTTTTTCCATACTATATCGAATGATTTTACTGAATTACAGTGTTACTATGTTATTTTTGAGTGGATTCGTAATGCTCTGGGACGATAATAAGTACACAATAAGAATAAAAACGATACTTTTAAACAAAAATGCGGCATTTAACAAACTACAGTATATTATTTTGACGTTAATAACCTTAATTTCAAAACGTAGTAAAATCCGGGGTAGAAAATGTATACGGAATAGATAAGTCAATGCTTTGCCCATTTCGTGTACGTTTATGTTACACTGCAAATGACTGTGAAACAAATGGTTGTGATGCGCTGTTGTGAAATCGAATGTATTTGGTTTTTGAAGAATCGAGCTTGCGCCCTAGCTTTTATTTCCGTTAACTACTAACCTAAATTTTCCTTCATCAGAAGTAGTGCGTAGCTATAGCAGCCACTACAGTAAGTAACAAGCAGATATATTTATCTAATAACATCTTACTAAAATGGCATCTTGTTGAACATCTTTCAGGATGGAAATGTTCTTCTTAAAAAATCAGAAGAAACGCATCAAATCGCCACGTTATACAAATGGGCTTCTTGATGGTGCAGCCCTGCCAAAGCCACGCTGTCACGCTGGCGGTGCAAAGCGAAGTGAATCCCGCGAGCGAGGCGATTCATCCGCGGGTTCGTCAAGCGGAGGAGACTCTGTTCCACGACCCCTGTCGGCGCCAGCAGGCCTCAATTTAATGGTTCCACAGGATACCCCCTTTGAGGAACAATACGCCCGAATTATCTGTCACCACCAGGATTATTTTCACAGGTCACTAACTATAATTGTATTCGTTTTGTCAATGTTGTGTTTTCAAACAATCGTTATTACGTTCCTGCTTTTCGATATATGAGATAGGTACATAGTAAAATGTTTGAACTAGCTGACCTAACGATTGATCATTTTTTAGTTTAGTGGTATGGTTCTCTCTCTAACCACATAATTTTTGCAGCACTGAACGACATTCTGGTAAGCTCTGAATAATGTGGTTGTATCCTAATCGGAGAGCATAATTCTGTTGAGAACTACATTCAATATCCTTCTAATAAACGTTCCGAGTTTTATGTTGGACGTTATCGTTAAGCATTGGTTCATACGATTAGAGCCCAGCATGAAACAAAGTTTTTCTACATTCAATTTCACCGCTTGGTCTATTTCTCAGCTTATTATGAAAATGCGGTACTACTTTACGAGCTTAAAAGGACTGATAAGTGATCACAGGAGGAGTGTGCCTAAATAAAGAAATAAACATCGTGTATTTAATTACAAAAGCCAGTAACCAACTGTCTCAAATAATAAAAAAAAAGCAACACTAAAGGTTCTGTTACGTAGGAAATCGAGGATTCTCGCTCTTAATCAAATTGCCGCTTAATCAAACTTCTAATGACTGTGAACGTGACGCCTGTAGAAGTAACAATACGCAGAATGGCTGACAACTTGTATATATGAAAGATTGCAGATGTATGAGGAATTAGTTATATTTTCCTGAGACAAACGTTACACCTTTATGTACAGCCTGAATAGAAACCAACAGCTCTGCAGCACTCCCTTATCTTGTCACTCCCCTCGGGTATTTTTTACTCGCAAACACGGAGGTCCAAAATAAATCAAGAACAGGCAGTTAGACACTGCTACGTTGATAAGAGCAATAGCAGTGTAAGTGTTACGGCAATATTTTTACTGCCGATCGTCTTAAAGCTCTATCCTCACATTTACCGAACAACGTCATTCAGTCATTTACAAATTTGCATAGCCGACCATATTTATATCATAAAGAATACATAAAGAAGCGTACACAAAACGTGTTCCCGCTTGCCTTTCGCTATATTCATTTAGGTCTGCTGTGGGATTGACCTGGGCTCATAATTAGCTCGATGAAAACGCAAGTACTAATTTCCCTAAAGTGCAACCTAACTATGCGATGCGTAGTTTAACTGATCTAGAAAGCAACTTACGGGAACTGTTTTCGGCAACATGCCAGCAGAAATTCAATGTGACAGCTGGTTATCGATATAAAATTAAGTCTTGTGTTAGACGTTGTTTACAATTAATTACTTAATGTTTACAATTAATTAATACGATATATGCAGGTGTGAGGCCAACAAGGTTCTTCGCGATCTCGTTATGTGCTGTATGAGCTCATTTATTAATTGGATAGCCCGATCCTAGTGCCATTGGACGCTGTTGCAAGCGATTAATCCCCGGCACAAAACTAACTATCTACGCCCGTGTCGTTTCTAACTTTAGTAGGCAACCACGTTATCACCGCAGCATTGCGGTTATATATATTTGAAAAATTAGATCGACATCGCTCAAATGCGTCACTTGAAAGCGAAAACTGTACATTCATGGTTTTTACACAGGGACTAGCGATACAACAATGGTTGAGCATTCCTAGTTTTCTTTGTAGTGACCACTGTGTAGTAGCTATTAGCTAGTAGCCCTCTGTTACAGTTACTCGGTAAACTCGGTTCGGAAACAGTTTTGTTTTTGTAAGACGATAACCTAGCTATCCAATTATTGTACATTATGACAGTCAATACTAAAATTAAATCAGCATAGATGAGTTTCATAAAATTAAGCGCTGTGGTAAAAACGATTTCTTCAGACAATAGAGTATACACACAAAGTATTAGTACTGCATAAGTCGTCGACCATTGAGATTCAGAGGTTTATTGAATATTCCAAATCATGACTTTGCCGCAATTAGGATAAAATCTTTGACTAAGAATTTTGAAAATAATGTTATCTGTATATGTTAATCAACTGATATATTTAGGAATGTGCTTTATTAGAGCCTGTGCTTGTAACTTTTGTTCTCATTTGCTCAAATTGCACAATCAGGTGAACACTGGAGGCTGCAAAAAAAAAATTAAAAGGCACCTGACATCTATTTATGCTAACTTTTTGATATATTTGTTAAATGGGTGTAAATTTATAGTATGAAGATCTACCGAATCCATGTAGCACCACAAAAAGGCTTTTTTAATTAACTCCAGCTAGGAAATATAGAAACTTCGCTCCGGCCAAGTAACACTCAATATACATGAAATACAACAAAAACGTATTCGATTCAAACGGACCTTTATTAAACCAAGAGAGGCAAATTAATGACAAATCACAGAGAAAACAGGTCTCACGAATAGTGCAAAAACGCGCCAGTAAAATTTGCGGGCCTTAGAAATTGGGTTACTCTGGTTGTATTATGAAAAATTCACTTGCAGAACACAGGAAAACCAAAAGAAAAATACAGTAACCCATATTACTTGGTAACGAATAAATTAATTCCCTAATCACGAAACTGAATTACTCATAATACTAGCACTTTGGTTCCGCGAGTATTGTTTAAATTCTGTAAACACATTCTGGCTTACGCCTTTCATGCACTCACCTTCGTCATTGCCAAGTGAGAAAGCAAAACACGTTTAATAGTCTCCACTCTTCTGATAAAATTCGAAACAAAATATTCAATATATGACATGGAAAGTGAGTGATCATTACTGATATAAGCCCCATCCAAACTAGTAACTATATACTTTTGACATGCCCCATTCTTCTATAGTTACTTCCAAAGCCCATGTGTTCATTGTAGAAAAATCGTAATCCGTGTTGTTTACTTTAATTTGTCAACAAGCGCTATTAACTGGTCATCATCTTTACTGCCGATAACCTTGTCCACAAGTTTTCCGCCTTTAAAGGTCAGGATGGCCGGAACCGCATCAATCGAGAACTCCATTGCTAGCTCCGCGTTGTCGTCGATGTCAACCTTGTGTTGAAACCATAAATCAATCTTAAGTCAAAAATCGAAATATCCATAATACTTATAAAACTCTATAATTTCTTATAAACAAGATGCATTGGCAACGCAGTGATGTATTCACTAACAAGACACAGTGTGCGCAAAATTTTTTGGGAAACAGTATCTGAAAGAACTTGCCTATTTCGTTATGAATAGATGAATGAAATAATAAACGCAAACTTCAAAGAACATTTTCTTAATCAAACGCGACGTTCTATCGTAGAAGTGCGAAGCACAAATTCAACATAGGGACAATATTTTCTATTATATTGAACACGGTTTCTTTAATGCTTTTTAAGTAATTAAAGATAACGTGGTTAATAAATTACCTCAATGACATTGGTTTACCTTTGCGAAGTGCATAGAGGAGTTACGTGAATCCATGATTTTCTCTAATCGAGGCGTGAGCAGCTTACACGGGCCGCACCAACTGCACAACAAACAGGAGAGAGTAGCACGTAATTGCACGACTCGTGGCAAAAACAGCTACGAGTGCTTGTTATCGAAAGTCATCAAACGCGTAACACGTAAGACGTTCTTAGCTCCTATTATGTCGTAGAAAGCTCCACGATTAAGTTACTTAGCGATCCATGCCAGATGGCGCGAATACGCCGTCTTGCCATCAAACAGCAGTGGACGTGAGGCAATTCAAAGACATTAGAAGTTGAGTGAGTAAGAAATCAAACAAAATATATATGTGTATACATATATAGGGTACACAAAAGGTCGTTTGATAGTCTTAAATGCTTGCATCAATCTTTCTTGAATAGCTCTGAGTGGTTAAGTGTCAATTTCACTAATCACTTTATATATCAAGTATTTAGGTAGTAAATTGTCCTTGGTGATGTTTTTAATGACTCTATCTTTCCCATGACCACAAGGGAAAAAATTGAAAAAAGCTAGATAACAGGACCTGGGCCACCACTTGACTTGACCACAGCCACGCGTCGAGATCAGCCGACTTGGAAGCATGCTTCAAACAGATCAACTGTTTTCCATGCTGTGTGGCAAACTACCCCATTTGGTTAAAACCAAAAGTTTTTTGCATTCAATATCTTCATTTCAAGGCACAAAAAGGTTTGTGCTCGTCGTGGACTATTGTTTCCGTTCCAGCATCACTTCCTGCATTGCATTGCGTTTCAAAACGCATTCAGAAAAGAAACGATGCTTGTTTCTCGTGGAAATAAGAATGCTGGTACTTTGTAGAGATAACAATACAATTGTTCCTTTAGAATAAGTCGCAGTGTTCATCATTAGATCGAGTAGGTCACCACGATGCCGCACTAACGTCGTTGGATCTGGGTCCACATTACTAGCTATACCCAAACGAGCAGATCACAGGAGTAACCTTGGTCTCACTTTATCTGCACGTGAGCCAATCGATTTCAATTTCCTGATTAATTGCCTCTACGTTTTTTGCGTTAACAAAAGATACGGCCTGCAATCTGTGTGACACCTGTGGGGTATCATCTTCATTGGCTCCGTACTTCGACTTTAAGTTTTTACTAAAAACAAACGTCGTTGTAAACTGCTGTATTTTATCATCACCAAATCGCAAAAACTGCTACCGTTCGACACTCTGCTTGCTTACGGAGACAGCAGAGAGGGTCGAAATCGGCCACCAGCTTTCCTATATACCTTATGTATGTAGAGCGTTTCCTAATTTCCTCAGTGAACCTTTGCGCACTTGAAGAAAAGCCAACAGATGGAACTAGGTTAAGTTTCGTTTCCTGCTTCCTCTATTTTATTTCAGATTGAAGCGGTTCGTTATCGATTGTTTCAATCATTGCTTGAATATTGGCCCTTAGTTATTAAATAGTTAACGGCCTTTTTGCGCAAACCATATCCTTCACATATCCTTAACAAGAGTAATTGAGACATTTTAGGTCACACTACCGTGGTGTACAAAGTAGGAAGATGCTGCCGCGATTCGCGGCACTTGTGGCTCTAGCCTGCCGGAACTGAACAGAGTTCTCTTCTTGTCGAATAACAAATGCGGCCACAGCCGAAATTACGTACTTATACAACTAAAGCGTTACTTAACATCATCCATCAGCTCGTGGTAAATATCTTCGCTAATGAATAGAAATGCTATTCATAGAAATTCTTAAAATATTGTAAAAAAAGCTAAATTTTTCATTTTTTATCTGGTACAGTCCGCGACTATTGACAATGTACAAAAGGTGCGCAAGGCAAGAGACGTTTTTTTCGATCATTCACAAGGCACGTGTAAGGTACAGAAGACTGACTTGCCAGTTAAACATAGTAAAAGCACTGAGATTTGGCCTAAACTTATTAAGAAGATCCTTGATACCTTTCTGATGTCATTGTTTTCGTCAGTTCAAAAACGAAAAAAGCAACATCTTTAGATTTTTTGGAAATAGCAAAATAGCAATAAAAAGCTCTATAAATAAAAATGAGAAAAACACCTGAAAACGCGTTACATGAAAAATATCCGATTAAGAATAATCCAAAAAGCATTTTACTAAGCGCGTACATTCTTTCAAAGTCACCTGGTAAAGATCAAAAATACAAATTTCCATATAATTTACGACACTGTAGCGGCACAATGCCATCCAGTTTATTAATATTATACTCATCATCAAATGCCCCATAAAAACGAAAGTCGTACATTCAACCAATAGTTAACCGCTACGAAAGAAAAAAAAAAGCTAATAATAATAATAATAGTAATCATTCTTTACACATCTGTCTTCCTTAGCACTGATGCTTTTTGACGAACCTAACTAGTAATAACTACTTTCGTCTAATTAGACTTGTACTCCTGTTACATAAGTTCTATAATTCTCTCATCCAATAGAAACAATGTCGAGATATTAAGGTGCCGATTGTAAAAACGTAATCTTGCGAAATGTTCACTTATACCGCAATAGTACTATCTCTTAATCTTAATTTACAGCAGATCCATCTATGTGTGCCCTATAAGCATCGCTACAAGCCAGAACAGCTTTAAGCTCTCGCTGAATAAACGGCACCCTCTCGTTGTCCATCAAATCGATCCAATTGTTTACATTGATCAATAAAGGAGAGATTTTTTGGGCTCGGAGAAGCTCAGTTCGAAGAGATAAATCTACTGTAGGCAATCCCGATGCACGAAGGTAGCTAGCATTGTTTGTCAGCAGGACGGCCAACACTCTACATTCGTTGGGAATCGTTTTAAAAAAATTGTGGCGGTCACTCTCGGCATAGTGCGAAAGTGCGATAGGAAGACCATTCGGTCGTAGAACCATCAAAAAATCCGCTAGTGTACCAAGTGGCGTGCAGATCCTTTCGGCTACAAATTTTTCACCTTCTAACGCAGTAGCTAAAGCTTTGTGAATCGCTTGGGATTCGCTGTGGTGTGTCTCAAATTTATTAAGTATACGGAATCGTATTCTCGGCAGGATACGAAACGAGAATCGACTAGCCTTTTCTCCCCGAAGCCGTATACAGTATTCAATGTCGAGTAAACGTTGTGCAATAGTAACATTCACAAACTCATTCTGTAACACGGCCTCTTGAACTTGAGGGTTGAATAACATATCCAGTTGAAATGTGGGGAATATACCCGTAACAACTAGATCCCGCATGTACGTAATGAAAGAAGGCAGGTTTGAAGATAAACGTGTGGCCTTTTCCTTAGCGTCAGCTAGTATGGCAGCAGCTTTTTGATTAAGGACAGCTTCTTCTGAACCTCCACTGGAGGACTTAAGACCAGGGAAGCGCTCTTGTGCTGCTAGAGTTGCCACCGCATTTGATAAGACCGGAAGAGGGATGCGTTCGTTGTTGAGTACCTCGTCTTTTTCCTTAATGATTAAATCGCGTAGAAACTTGGAATTGCGCACTGTGAAGTACCGATGCTGTTGAGTTGAAAACGCGAGTGTAGTCGTTCGTGCGAGACCCCAATGATTGTCCTCGGCAAATTGCCAAAGAGAATCACAGAGCTTTCTTGTGAATCCCGTGTACGATAACGTTGAGAGCAGCATCCGAAGATTATTCATGTCAAGCTTGTCCAGGCCACTAGCAACAATGTCCATGCAAGTGTCAAGCAGGTGCCTAAATGCTTTCGAGTCAAATATGTTTAGCGTGTTGACCTTATTCGTTTTGACGAAAGCAACAGCAGACATCAAATTGACCGCATGCACTGCGCTCATATCATTGGCGTGTTTCTGCATGGCCAAAGAAATGAATTCCAGCGTGTCTTTATCGCACTCACTAGAGAGAGCGAACCGTAAGGCCTGGAAAGATTCTTCAAAGTTTGCTGTGTCGAGTTCAACAGGACATTTTAACTGAAACACAAGAGGAATTGCTGTTCTGAGGGCCTCCGTCAAAAACGTCTGTCCTTCGAATCGAGTTAATAAAAAGTGCAAGAACATCAACTGTTTCAAAGAAAGGTCCTTCAGCGAGGCGCGAATCATTTGGCAAATACCTTGCACCAGTGATGATTTTGTCGGCAGCTTCAAGAGAGCAGCTGCCTTGAGAAGCGTAACACATTCTCCAACTTCGTAAAAACGCAGACGTTTCAGCGTCCGGTTTGCTAGCTTTAAGAATGATGGGGATTCAACAATGCTTTGTGGCAGTGTATCACCTTTTTCTACCTTGCCTCCGAGTATTTGGAAACTGGCCAATAGATGTCTGTTTGTCATAGCTAAATAGTGCTGCTCTATAGCAACGAGAATATCGCTCGTATTTGTAGCTCCGCTAAGTTCCCCGAGAATGAGATCATTTTCGGCTTCGAGCGATTCTTCTGCCTTCCGCTCACGGGTAGAAATCTGGCAATATAGAGACTTTGCCGATGTTCGATACCCTTGCTTGTTCACTGCAAGTGTGCGCGGTAAGGTACCAGTGTGCGCTAGCAGGTTCAAACGGCCAGGTCGCACACTCAGTAATATTCTTCCCAGAGAAATCATCCTAGCTTGAAGATTTCGAATTATTATTTAAGGGCGAGAGCCCTTATCTTTGTCGTAGTATGTGTTTTAAATGGCACTTAGTGATTTTGGTAGCCTAGAAACCGTAGCAAACGACACAACTCCACGCAGATTCACACAGCGCAGCAGCACATCAACCTCGAATGGAGCGACCAGTAGTCATTTGTTTACAAATGTGTGTTTTGCTAAACGAGAGCAGTTCCGTGTCTATACTTGATTCGCACAGATTGAGCGTGTGTGGGATATTGAGCGGCCTAACGACTCTAAGACTTCCGACGAATACCGCCGAAACAATGGAAGCAAAGGAAGGTAGCTTCTGTGCTATCAGCCAGCGGGTATACGAATCATTCTGTTAGTATTGTTCATTTAAAAAAAAGTGTTTGTTGTTGTGTTTTAGTATGTAAACATAGCCTTATTAAAGGCAACAATTTGCCATAAACCGAAATCTATAAACGGAGTTGAAATGCCATACTACTCAATAGAAGGGTTTAATGATAGGAACTGACTATTTTGCTGTCACAAGAACCACCTAATTTGAGGCAACGGGTGTCGGTGTAACCTTCACCTTTTCTACTGCGCCAAAAAGTACAGACTGCACTTGCTTTAAAGACAACTTATACCCACGTCCAGTAATTGCAAACTCATAATAAATGAACTTTATTAACGACAAAAATAAACAATTTGTGTTACTATCGTTATTTTTACAGAATTGTTGATACGTGAAAAAAATGGAGTCATGATCCCTATACAGAAACTCCATCGTACAAGGCAAAGATTTAAGTATGTAAATTTAACAGCAAACAATACTTACGTAGCTTTAAAGTTGACTACAACAGGCTTATCACTTTTGAGAACCTTCTCTTTGAAGTCGTTTTCATCTTGGATAGTGAACATGTCAGCGCGCCAAGCAGTTACTGACACGTTCCGATAGCTGTTCAGGGGAGTGGGCGCATTGACTGATCGTCTAAAAGCACTGATCGCGGAGAAAAAGCAGGTTCGAAACATGGGCATAGCGATTGCGTTCGACCGAAACAACTGCGCGATATTGCTGGCGTTTTTCTATTGACGTTCTGAGTCGTTGGGTTGGAGGCGTGATTTTGTTATGTTCTCTTGAACGTCTTGCAGACTGGGTTGAGCGGAGTAGCAGACGACTTGGCAGTGGTATGTACCGGTGCGCGGACATCGTCAACGAGACGTTTAGGTCTTCTATATTAAGGGAAGGCATGGTCTGGACGGTTAACGCGCATTTCATAGAGTACGTCTCCATGATGACCATAACTGGCAAGCATGCTGAAAAGTTGGCGAAAATTAGTACCAGATATTGTTAATTAGAAAAGTAAGAAATGAACGAAAAATAAAACGAAAAATGAAAATGAGAGTCATGCCTGTTCGAGAAACCTCAGATAAGTTTCGGCTAGACTACTCATAGGGGTAACTCCTTGATGCTAAAAAGAACTGATTCCGAGGACTCGTTGACGGAGAAAATAATAACTAGAAATGCTGATTACAAAAAAAAAGATCTATTCTTTCGTCCAGTAAATTTTGGAACAGGTGAGTTAGTCTAGGTTCGAATGCAAATGTAGACACGCATCCATATCGTACTAAGGACCAGCTGTCTGAATATAACAGTAATAATAATGCTTAACGGCGATACCGGATATAACACTCGAAACATGTATTGTGTATGCTATTTATATATACGGGCGTAACGGGAATGTTAACGCGGAGGTGCAATAAGAGTTTTTATGATGATGCAAATTCTCAGTATTCAAAGCTTGAAAAACAAATTTAGCTGTAAATAGGTGTTACTAATCAATCTTTTCTGTTTGATTAAATATTAGAAATATTACACAATAGAAATACCGCCAGAGTTCCTTCTTATATACTCTAAATGTATCACACGAGTAACCAGTTGCTCACTTCAAACGTTTCCTGTACATTTCATGATGTTTAATTTTTATAGGGGGAAGCATGTTTGCTTGAGCGCCGCTTTTATCTAAAATTTCTGTGTTCTTCCGACTCTTTTGTTTTAGGTGGTTTATCTATAGTATGGAAACAAAGTACATAGAGAGATGTTGAAGTAAACACATACTAAATTGGTTCAAGTCGAATAAACCTATTATCGCTACCTGTCATTTAAATTATTCTTATAAATAGTTTGAAAAACGATAAGAATGAATCGTCCAAGGTAGGGCAATAGCAAATACAGAAATAATAATAAATCACTGTTTTTATTTTGTAAGTCGAAATCATGTATTGAAGTAATGGGAAACAAAAATAACTCCCCGTCGGGGAATCGAACCCCGGTCTCCCGCGTGACAGGCGGGGATACTGACCACTATACTAACGAGGAATACGTATTGTGTTCCTAAGCGGTGCCTCAAACTCAAATTAAGAAACATGACGTGAAATGTTTATATCTGATGCAGAGCGATACAGAAAGCGACTCCATTATGAACGAAACGGTAGTACGCGAACTTTATGCCGTTGACCGATTTTATATTTCAGAGCCATACTGTTAGTGTGACTCAAGTGATAAACGTATCATTTGAGTGAGAAACGTATCATCGCACAAAAATATGGAACAATCGAGTGGAAAACAATTCAGTGGCTATCGGCGTGCCCCGCAGCTATTATCCAGTGTAGATAGTGTATCATGATAAATATACGAATCATATCTGCCAACATGCCTTATAGAAAATGAGTTGAAATACAAGGGTTAACTCAACTCATTTTTCTTGCGCTAATTTGTTATCTCGTTGTTTTGTTCGATATAAACCTATTCAAATGGCATTGTTGCAACATTCATTTCTGGGTGAGATTTCTTTTACTTAGCTACTATATTCTATAGAATTATTATTACATTAGTGAAGCGATCACCTGCACGCTGTAAGTTGTCTGGAGTGCAACGCTGTCTGTGTTGATAGTCTGTATTGTCTTAAATGATATTCTTTACTGTTTCGTCATTTCAGACTGCAAAGTCGCAGGGAAAAGGCAAACAAGGTTGCGACAATCCGGCAGCACTATTACCCAGAAGGTGAATGGGGATGGGCCGTTTCTGGGTGTGCTTTCGTTGTCCACCTGCTTACAAATGGTATAGTACTAGCGTTTGCCCATCTGCTCGGCCAGGTGCATCAAAAATGGAATCATGTTCCCCAAATCAACATAGGTAAGTGAATTAACTATTCGCCTCAAACAACAACAAAGGTGTGACTATGTTCTACGGGTCAATAACAGGCCGACTAGGTGGTTCGCACTATGCCCTCCATATTGAAGAGCTCCAATTTTGATCGAAGGAACACTGCATCAGGATTTGAAATTAAATCACGCAACCATTTTAAAAATGAGACAAACTTAAATGTGAGACAAGGTAGATGGAAACGACGAGGCCTTGTCATATTACGTTTTGTCATGGTTAGGCAGAGGCATCTAACTGTAACTTACAGCCAGAGTTGAAAGGTCTTAGCGGATATCTGCTTAGTTTATATACATATTTCTAAGTATCCCAGGTATATCGATGTATGGGTAGACCTGTACCTATTTATTGCAAAATGGAAGATCTGCATCAAAATATATAAAGGCCATCGCTCGTCATGAGAAGCTAGTTATTTAAGCCATGATGTAAATAACCGCTAATTTAAAGTAAAATGCAAATGTTTGATCTACTAAAGTTAGAAGTTGAACGCTTACGGAGTTCCGATCAGGAAAATATCGCATGCTTTTATGCGAAGTTTATTAGATTTTATACATGTGACTAGATAGCAACTTCGCTTGTGTAGGTAAATAAAATACTATGAACAGTTTCAAATAGGAGAGAGGACTCCAACGCATGAACCTTTCTCAACGAATGAACTCCTCACAAAAACTTACATTCCAACAAATGCGATCGACTTCTTGCCAGACATCATAAAGATGTAATTGCTTGATAATCGCTCTTGTACTCAACGTCATGATGGGAGAAATGATTCTGTTAACCACGGAAACTGTAGCCTGTTTGCCCGCATCAAAGAGTTGATGGCTCCTGTTTATTTGGTCCTTAAAAGCCCAGATTCAACCGAGAATTTGCGTTTTCATTGTCATACCCTGTTGTTGAAATAAGAGGACCAGGTATGAACGCTAACGGTTTCAATGATTTCCGAGGATCAAAAGCTTAAGTAATGCCACAAACGATATTCCTGCCACATAAATGGCTTTCTTTGGTGCTAACATAGTCAGTCGCTAACCGAGCACTCAACGAAGTAACAGTGGCCAACCAACGACACAAACGCTCGTATTTTATAATCTTTGTTGTAATTTATGGTACCCATTACTTCATCGTTATTCGTTTACATATCGTATTTTTCTGCTTTTAGGACAAAAACGTTCTTGTGACTGATCACTATTTCGATTAGCATTTTTCCTTTGACGAACGTAAATTGTTGCAACCTGGATTATTGCATCTTATTGATGAGCTGATTCGAAATCTGTTAGCTGGGAATTCACTTTGTATGTGCGCACTGCTAACGTGAATAGGTATTGCCGTATGCCCAGTTACACGTTATCTTCATATTGAGTCGGATGCTGGTGGCATGTCATCGGGTTTTCATTAGCTCAAGTTCGGAAGCGAAGTTCTGCCGTTACTCTAAACAGTAGTTTCTTTAAGCACACAGCATACGTTCGATGTTACATTACATTCAGATGTAACGAAACGTTACATATGACAAAACAAACCGTTAAGCGGTTCGCGAAAATGACAATAATCATAATAAAGCACATAATGTATATGGAGATCATCTGCGTCGATTTAGTTAATTTATTTCATTAGTACGCTTTTCGGCGAATTATAGATATTTCGATTATAGGAGGGCACTGTGATGATCAGTTACTTACGCTTTATAGTAGTAGGCATGTACGCGTACAACGAAGAAGCATAGGGCGAACTATATAGTTTCACGATATTTTTTGACTCCGGTTTTGATTCTCCTTTGTGTTCCTGGTAGAAATTTAATGCAGAAATGAAGCAGTTGTAGAATAGTGGTAAACAATAAAAACCTCTACAATTATAGCATTCATATAGTTTCGGCTTTAAGATTGTAACAGCCCTGGAAAGCTTGTTTCCATGTAAACAAAATACAGGCTTTACACTCACACGTGTACGTGTATGAATGAACACCTTCATGTAGTGAAAAAGACAAGTTCACAGCAGATACGTGCACAAATACAACGGGCTATAAGATTGTCTATAGATGTGTTGATGTTCGATATTTACGGATGTGGGACTCCAGAGGTCAGAAGACCTCTCGAGTCTACCGATGCAATTCACTACCTCGAAGTCTCTTCGCGTGTTAAAGAGAAAACTAACCTAATTTATCTATGAATGTTTATGCAGGCACTAACTTTCATGGGAAACTACCATACGAAATCATAGTATTAAAGCTATGTTCAGAGTGCAAGGCTGTGTTTATCGGTTATTGAAATCAGAGAAAAAAGACTTGCAAGGGCATCATGTCAACGGATGCACGTCAGAGAGGGATGCATGATGCTGAACGGTTGAAATCTTTAGAAATTTATTTGGTATTTATATTGCTAAATCGGCGTTTCATGCCATTATTGGAATTATTTATCATCGAAAGACAAAGTAACGATGACTTTTTTCATGAAAGAAATTTCGGAGGTGGTAGTGTTTTGGTGCCCAAAACTGAAAGTGCGAAATAACAAGCGTTTTGTATATGCTTTTCAAGGTCCCCTAAGGAAATCCTTAAAGTATGGTAGCCTGTGTGTTGGCTATCATTTGCTATAGACTTTTCCCTAAAGTTGATGAAGATCGATTTGAATCTCCCATTATGATAGTCCATTTAACCAATAATCGGTTGAGTTCTTTACCTAAGAATCTCTGTCTCGACTAAGTAATCGTAAGAAAAATTGTTCGAATTTTTCCTCCAACTTTATAAACGCAACAAGCCATACCATTGGCCCTAATTACTATTTTTTTTTTTTAGTTAGCCACAACCGATCTGCAGGACACGATAGCCGTGTCTTGATAGGTAAGAGAACATCCTAGTGTTAGCATCCGGTAAATTACGTGAACGGCTATAGTGAATACTGTAGGCTGCTGTTCAGGACCTTATGGCCTTTACAGTTTATGAAGATACTGTCCACTAGCTAAAATGAGCGATTTCAACCGAATTTGAACTATGACTAGCAATCATTTAATCCAATGTTGCAACTACGACAGTCCTACGACTGGCATCTGACTGCATCTTAAGATAATTAGTTTTACCATCAGAACTAATACTGAATCTATTTCAGTAGCGTTTGACACAGGTTGATGTGTATAAGCTTGGAAAATATAAGTATTTTTAGCGTCCGCTGGTAGTGGAAATTTAATTATTATGGAGTGGAAAAATTACATTTCGATGGAGGAGATTCTTAGCTAATGGTGGGAAATCATCGGAGTTAAGTTCATTCACTTAATGCTTGAGACTGCGCTGTGGCTTTCAGAAAGATCCATAAGCTGCTTTGTTGTAATGAAGAACAGCGGACGAGTTTCCCACCACAATCGGGAATCGGCTCCGGATGGCTTACTTTAAATGTCATGGCGACAGAGTAGAAAAGTAGCGCCCTTACTGATATGTATAAATGGTAATTAATGATTTACGATAATGAAGTAGATAAAAACGCTTACACTGTTACTATCTCTTTAATTTGAAGAGGTTCTATTTGGTCTAGCCTCGTTGTATACACGAGAGGTGAATAGTGTGTACTTAGTTGGCCAGTAAGGCTTCCAGTAAACAAAGAGTAAGAATAATCAGGCGGCTTTTATTCCGCAATAAAAACATCCCCTCCGCAGTTGAGTAATCTAACTACGTAAATAAATTAGACGAGCATCAGTGATAACAAGTACTAACAGAAACGGTGACACTTTGTAACACTTAGCCCGGTCATTTCGAAACATTATACATTAACACAAATAACAAAATTCAATCACCTGCTAGAATACACAATGTTGACGAAAGCAGTATTTATCAATGAGATTACTTATTAAAGTCATAGGGGCAACGTTTAGCAGGTTTCTAAGTTAATACGCCCTTAAAATTTTCATAGATGCAAGTAATAAGCCCAAACACGCATAACATTCTAGTCCTGTATATTGCTTTGCATAGCTTATATAAAACTTATAAGCTTAACGAGAAAGCTTCTTATCTATAACGGTCACAATGGTCCTAGGGAGACTTGTCACGTTGACCCGGCAGCGGCTTAAAGAAGGCCCTAAGGAGATGGGGTCGCAGCCAGGAGCATTTGTGTGGGAAGGAGTCACAAAGAGAAGGCTACTGTTCAGGCCAAAACGCCAATCTAGCCAAAGCGTCAAATTTGAAGAGGAAACTACTTGAGGTCCTTGAACTACCGTTTCACTCGCATCGTTTTATAGATGTCTGACTTCTGCAGACGGCGCCAGTGGCTGTTTCTGCAGTGTTGTCTAGCAATGCAAGTGGCAGCAGGATGCGCATCCTGCGATCGTCTGCCTCGAGGCTGCCTGCATTTCCATTGCCTGTGCTATTTCTTTTTCTTGGTGCTCAAGCGAAGTTAATACTCAGTTCAGTCGTTAGATTACGCGAGCGTGACAGACTCAACACCCGCGACCATACAAAGATCCGATCAAAGCCAAGCAAGCGGGCCCCGAGTAATGCTCGTAGGAAAACGATAAGGATTTTCTACACTGATGTTTCGTTTAGCGACTCTACTGCAATGGTGCGCTGCCGCCGCCACTTTCCGTCCTGCCGATGCTCCAACTTTGGCGACCACTGGAAGCATCCTTTGGGTCGATGTATTGGGTCGATCTCAACTGGGAGCACCTTTCGATACCAATCGAAAAACAGGTCGAAGGACAGAGTGTTGAACGCGAATATTTGCCCGCGCAACTTGGTTCGGATTGCTTAGCGGTAAGAATGGCATAACGACAGAAACGACAACAGCAATAACAACAACAAAATGACGAAGCGAATGGTCCTGGTTCCAATCCAAGTTGGCGTAGCGCATAGCACGCGTATGAGTCTTTATCGACTCCGCGAGTCAAGTGTTCGCTCTGCTTGTATTCGAAACGAGAATGATATACTCAGAGGCCTGTCTAGTTGCCATGGGGACGAAAGGGCTATTAGAATACACATTGTGGGTACCGTACACAGCCAATCTCGCTCAGTGAACGCTTTACAGTGATCGTAATCCAATAACGGTAACATTCGGCGGCATGGAACGTTAGCACAGCTTGCAGCGTAACGTTGGAATAGATTTAGATTGATTAGACTAGTGCAAAGACGTGAGAAATGATTCTCCAATTGAATAGTAAATCCATTCGAACGTTCAGACTTTTGGATGTCTCCAGTTGAGATAGACCAACTGTCGTGGTGGGCTTTTGCCTAAATGAACTGACCGGTCAGAGACCAAATTTCAATTATGTAACATGAACAAAACCGTAGCGGTAACTTGTGCGATTCGAACGTTCGCTTAGACCAGTGCAAATTACTGTCAGACAGTTTCCGCGAAGTAAGTCCCGGTGGTCAAATGGGCCGCGAAGTTCTAGACCATGCTTCAGCTACTATGAGTAAAGATGTTAATTTTAACCTTAACTACTCTCTTACGTGGATTGTGAAATGCAAAGTACTAAAGGTAGCACTGCCATTACACACAACTGCTACGTGTTAGGCCTACAAATAGTAACCCGCGTCTAAATTTTAGGAAGTCGTTTGATGACAACAACGCCTCCAAAAGCTTACGCGATGAACAAATTCAACCTTCGTCCATCTTTAGAGCTGCGATTTAAACCTGATGAAGCAAAACAGCTGATGAAAGAGATTGTGAATCCACTTTTGGACTCTATCGAAAAGTACGACGCAACCATAATATCGCAGCTGACGCGTCGAATCTCAGAAGAGGTAGTGCGACGACTCAAGGAGCTTTCAGACCATGCCAATGAGGAGGAGGAAGCTGTCAGGCCATCGACGGCAGCCAGTATTCGTAGCTTAGGCGACGGTAGGTACAAATATGATAGTATTTTTTACCCGAAAACATCTGACGTTCCTATAAAATCGTCTTGAAAAAGAGAAACACATAAGATGCAATAAGATCGGCGTAATTTTTCAAGTATAACCATGTCATAATTATATCTTCTAGCTAATGGAACAGTTCGTCTGAACAACAGATTGATTTGCGCTTTTCTGTTTTACAATGGTTTTGATCGTTCCAAATCGATCAATCAATCATTCATTGATCGTTACATGGGTAAAAATGTATGGATTTGGTAATAGTCTACAGATCGGATCTACATTTTGAAGCACGACTGCAACGATGCGTCAAATTCTACGACTATGTTTACATCGGCGCTCGTCAATAGATCATAGTTGTCGTGTGCTATCTCGTCACATCTTTGTTTCATGCAACTGTTGCCTCTTGCCATATGGATGTAGGTACGACTGGGGGGCGGTATAAGATTATCTGTCACACCGTTATAGTGGAGAACCGCGGAGCCGGTATTCGGGTATCATATGGTCAGCAATGGGATATCGACTCAGACGGTGCTGTGTCACATTTCTACGCTAGCAGCTGTCTCCAGTGTATTTGTACGGTGCTCGCTATATTCTACTACTGACTGACGGTGTGGAAAATACGAGTGGCCGAAAAGGAACAATGGCGGCTGACTGAATCGGGCGATGTTAACCCTTTGGAAAATCGAGCTGAAAAAACAAACATCGAATAGGGTGAGTCGAACAAGCAGAGGTCGGAGACAACTAGAGACACTAGATACCGAAGTGTAACGGACTATGTACCATTTTTTGAAAAGAAAGCAATATTTCTTCAGCGTTACATATAGAAGGACATATCGTAAGACTGGGGTGGTTTTGTAAATAGAGTATATAACACGTTGCTAGTGGTAGATGTTTGTCCGTGTTACAAGGAGCAAGTGTGACACCTACAGAAAGCAGATACAATGAAGGCAAAAGTCAGTCTTCATGCACTTCAGAGGATAGATGGAATGCTCCTTAATGGGCCGATTATACCTTATCGATAGTATAACAATTGAACTGGATAGTAGCTCACGTAACTAACTTTGGTTCGCACATTTGTTATAAACGCATGGCATACTTTACGTGTCGCTATGGATGCAAGTTTTTTAATAACTTAGGCACTTATATATATATATACATATATGCATATACAAACTTTTTTTGGCTGCTGCTTCTTCTTTGCTCATTATACTAATTAAATATATAGTTACTTAATATATAATAATTAGCGTATGATTTAAGTCCCTCTGAGCGCACACTACTTGTCATTGCTTGATTAATATTTAAAAGCATATCAAGAACAAGGTGCTAGCATAAAATATTTTAGTAGTATAAACGCTGATAGAATTCTACGTCATACTTTTGTAAATCCAAATAAATATATCTCATAAGTTAAAATCACAGTAATTAATAGAAAGAAGTATGTGCTTCATACGTATCCTAGTAGAACCATGACTTCATCATGTTCAATACTAGCTCAATATTTTTAGCTTCCTTATGTGAGAATTCATTTTGCTTGTTGTGCCGCCATTTAGCCATAGGCGTCGAATATGGGTCGCGTTTTCATACATGCCCAGTGCCAATTTGGCTAAATAGTAAGCGTTTGTTTTTAGTAATTATAGAAAGATAGTTATAATTTCATACTGATACATTATATCATATATAGTATTTTCTATTTCAAAAAAAAAAGCAATCAAGAACAGAATAATGAGTGCCTGAGGCGTTCAAAAAATTCCAAACGGTTTTCTATTTTGTAAATACGTTCCCTAATAAACACCTTGTTCCTGCCATTTTTTGCGACTTCATGTAATGTTTCTTTTTCTCGTGATTATCTCCTCGTTATTGAAGTATCTAGTCTGTTTTGAGCAACCAAGGCCTTAGAAATAAATTACTATTTACAAATACCTACAATAAACGATGTTAGTAAGAAAAATATGAGAACATATCCCGAAGCATCCGCACTTGTTTCTAACGATATTTAATTGCGTCGCTAAAAGCGATTGGCTCAATATAGCGTTTCGCAATTGATGGGGAAATTAATGTTTCTTCATATACCAGATACGCATACGCATACGCTGTATTATTTGATGAAAAAGGACAAAATTGTATACAATCAATCATATAGTTCCTTCTAGAATAGAACAAAGTTCACTGCAACAAAGTAGAAAAATACATTTTGGCCGATGAGAGTAGTCTTATGTGAGGGACCAGATGACACACAAGTTGCTTTCTAGTTATCGATGAACATGAAAAATATAATCGAAGCTTTCATACTCACAACAATCTTTAAGTGCTTTCCGAGTATCATTTTATTAAAGAATTTAATTACATCTTCTCGACTCTATAGGATTTCGACAGTAGCATTGAATATTCGTGGGAAAGCTCCCTTTGTCTTACAAAATTATGTTTTCTTTGTTCGCTTATTTTCCTTTTTGTTCCTGGAGCTGAAAAAAGCCCCTTACAAAACGATCAAAAAATCTGGTTGTTTTGTTTTATTGAGTTGAATGTTTCAGTTGTAATATTTACACAAGAAAATAGTAAACTTATGGGGAGGCTTTAACTTTGAAAGATTACATTCGCATAGGTAAAGGTCAGCGCTGTCTCCCACAGAGTTTTTGCGCCTCGATACTATACATTATATACATTTTTACTAAGGCCGGTTCCATCCCAGTAGTAGAAGCGAACGTGTATCAATGAAAGGTCGTCCGCAGTCAAGTGAAATGATCAATTATCAATGATCGATTAAGCCTGTTCTGGCTCAGTCTACTTAAGCTAATCCTGTGGCCTACACTTCTGTCAAACCGTTTTGTACTTCTTTGACGGAAAGTGGCCGTTTCGCTCCTCTGCTCTGCTCTTCACAGGCCTACGGGATTAAAAACAAGTATCTCAGGTTCAGGAGAGTTCTGCGCCGCTGCTTCCCTAAGGATAGAGTTGTCGTCGTTGTCGAAGGAAAGTCAACGAAGACAGCGACGCCGAAGTCTAAAGACGTCACGAATAACCCCGTCAACAACAACGGAAAACAAGCTGGCACCACTACTACGACAGACGGTTCGGATCGCTTTCGGCTGCTTGCCAAGGAAGACTAAGACCAAAGCATTAAAAACTAGCCGTAAGCGGTAAGACTGGTGTACGTTCCGTGTCATTAGGCAGTGTGTGTCCTTCCTTTTAGAACGCCAGCAAAAACACATGGCCATACGCGCACATTCACACAGAGCCGCTAAGATACAAAGGCGGAACTCAACGAGACAACACGATCAAGATCCTTATCGTACCGATTTGATGACGCGAGAAAACCAGACTAACTAACGAAGAGGAACGTGTTGTTTATGCTTCGAGATTTCTCTTTTTTTTTTTTTGCTAAATGAACAGTGGTGAATAACGGACTAATCTGAGGAGTGATGCAAGAATTATGCCCGAAAAATCGTTCCTAAATTGGTGATATTTTGTATTCCTTGTGGTTGCAATTGATATGAGAAAAAGTGCATATTGAAATGCGTACAGGTAAGTCAGTTACATATGAGCCTTTCGGTCAATTACTCAGAAGCTACTAGTGAATAGATGAACAGCTGGTGAGGTACTATAGATTTGTACGGTGCGATCGCTTATTATTACTGTGCTAACAGGACACGAATAATGTACTCAGTTTACTGATAGCGTTGTCATTTCGTTAATGGATACATGGCTATATATATATATATATATATATGCACCCCAGAGTTGGCCTGAGGGGTCTCGGCAAAACACGACTAAGTGGCCTAATGGTTAAAGATTCCCCTCAGCAAAGAAGCCAAGCTTTGCTTGTCTATCTTTTGAATTCGTGTTGAACATAGGGCTACTGTGTAATACATTCACACTATTCATATGTCATGTGTGGAGAGCGTTCGGCGTGAAGGAAGGCTTTGTCGAATTAATTAAAGATAAATTTTCTATTGCACCTTGACTTTTAATGCGGTATAAGATATTCAAACTAACATGTGAATATGTCGAAGACGATGGTTTGAAACGAAATTGTTATCATACACTTATTATAACTATGCACGCATTTTTTTATTTTTATATCAACAGATGTTCAGAGTATCACCACCTTTTATCACCAATAAAGGTGCTTGTTTTGTACGGACGACCCAGCAAGTTAACTACCCTAGCGATAGTCCTTTATTGAATAAGGCAAGTGACATGAGAAAGAACGTATGCCAGTAGTTCTTACATATGCCTTAGAAGTATGACTTGCTGAGGAAAAGAAAGCTCTGGCTATGCAACCAACGCTTGTAATCGGCGCTGACTTCGCACCTCCATGGATGATACATCAGACAACGTTTGTCTAGCTTCAGCCTGCCTGTCTGACTGGTTGAAGTCTGTTGCAGTTGCATTCCCTAGGCATCCGAGACGTGCATCAGTTCCGTCTAGGCAAATACAATTTCAGCGAGACCTCTACCTCGGTACTGTATCTCCGTATTCCTTGTGATGTGGATCCTACACTTGTTTCATAGGCAAAGCCACTAATCTAGACGCAAGCTCTCCTAGCTTGTTCGCCGTTATCTCCTGCAGCTACGGTTAGCCACTGTCAAGTAGCCGATGTATGCACGGATATTTTGCCAATTGATCTGAAGATGCATCGTTGAAGTCCACTGTGTAGCAAATAAAAAAAAAAACCTCTAGTGTATTGCCTCTAAGAGTTGTTAAATATAAGCTGAACTAACTAAACGTAGTTCGCCAAATGCCAGAATATGATGAAAACTATAATTTACTGACATTATTTTATTTATAACAAGATGAAAAACAATGTTTGCATGAGATCCTTTTCGAGAAGAATGGCCATAATGAAGGTATATTAACAAGGATATAGAATCTTATACAAATGTGCATTGCATCATGAACCGAGCTGCTTCAATATCGGGTGCATCCAAGCAGCATTCACGAACATAGCAAATGTATTTAAGTCGGCAGCAGTGCTATATAATGTTAATACTGATCTATTCTTTCTGCTCCAACTGCGATTCCAAAATGGACTCCTTTTCAGTGTTTGTCGGAAGTGTTATGCAACAGGTCTTGTTTAACTCATCGAAAAGCTGCTGATGCCTATAAAATCAGCCGATACGACTAAGACAATCCCGCGATAAAATACTAAATAATAAATAGTATCGTCAGTTTTAAGAAAATAGACTTTCTCAGGATACGCTGTTTTAAAGCCTTAAATATAAAAGCCCGCTTAGCATAATCTAAGAAGACTCTTTTCTCTACTCAGAGCAGAAAAGGTCTCGATATTTTAGTATTAGAAATAATATTCCTTTTACTGCAGAATAGAATTCCCAACAAATATTCTAATTTACATTTCATCTGTCAGTGGTATAAATAGAGTAATATTGGAGAGTCAATCACAAATAAAGTACGTAGACTCTTGTAAAATCAGAATCTTCTAAAATGAACGTCTATCATTATTTACATCCTACGGGTCTTCCGTTGCCCGTACAATGACAGCCATTAGTTAGTCACAGCGTGATCTATAAAGAAGTAGATTTTTTTTTGTAACAGGCAAAGTTTGCTTAACCTTCTTTGAAAGCAGAAGAAAAGGACAGCCGGTTGTGAAAGCAAAAGTGAATGTAGCGACTTTGCCTTTATTTTCCGTTAAAAACACTATCGCAGCGAGATTGTCTAGAAGAAAGTCTGCCTCAGCGCTAGCTAGCCTTAAATATTTAATGCAGCAGATCAGATTTTTATGATACCTCGTATAAAGCTACAGAAGTTGTAGCGTGGACAGACACTTAGAACGCTAAGCTACACAAGGATAGTGGATGGAAGGGGGAAAATTGGAGATTTTAGGCTTACAGCCAGGGCTACAGCCTATTTACCACAACAGGATTACGAACTTCGCGACGTGCTTCTGCTACCATCATATCGAGTCACCTCGTTCCGTATTGTTATTGTTCTTCGTGTGCTGTACGCTTACTATCGAATGACCGCTGTGACAGAGAATCTGCGACTTTTCTGAGTAACGCAGACCACGTTAGCATAAGGTATTTACATCTTGATATATAGATTCACTTCGTGCACCTTTGTTAGGCGATTACGTCCGCCCTCAAATCACACTGTATCTTCAGTACGTAGCAGGCAGCGCCAAAACGTAGGGGACGCAGAAAAGAGCTGTAATTTTAGAATATTAATTCAATAACTTTAGCGTGATCCCTGTTTTCCCTTTACCAGTTTTCGCAGAAAGTGATGTAAACGTCACGTACATCAATAACAAGAAGGGTGCCTTGGTTATGAATGCGTTCGAGAAAGGTACTTAGGGCTATCGAGCATCGATGCTGGTACCGAGCTGCAAGCACCAGTCTTTTCGGCCTTTTGTCCGATAAGACACATTCAATGATTTGCGCATTGCAGTAGTGCTAGGACAAAGGAAGACACAAAGCTGTTTACATGTCAGAGTCGATCCGTTTACTAGGACAGCTGGCTAACAATGTCCCGAGTGATTTTTACCTCACACATATCACATCTTCCATGGCGTTCCTGTTAGTAGGTTGAGAGGATAATACCAACGCTTTAAAGGCATATATTCTAACACACATTGACAGAATGACTACGGAATTCCAACGAATTTCCATTTTCTCTGTAATCAGCACGGTACTAGCTCAAGTGAAAGGAATACCTATTTCGGTTTAGAAATTTATTTGCAGATCTAGGTATAGATAAGTCCAATGACTAGAGGGAACCGTATATTCTATTTAAAGTAAACCTCAAAAAATGCGCGAGTTTTGATTATACTAGTCATACATGAGATTAGCAACATCTCAATCAGGCATTGGTCATTATCGTTACCTATACTGGATATTCGTACAATAATACTGGACTATAAAATAAGTACTAACCATTTTTCTAGCTGGGTTGCTTATTCTAGGCAATATGACTCTCGCTGGGTCGGTGTTGATGAAAGCTGAGATTTGGCAGTTCATTCAGATTTTAGGTAGAGCGCCCTTGACATGAGTGCAGTTTTCCAAAACTTTGCCATACTTCTATAATGATAAGGGCTCGGATTCTGCTTAGATCGATAAAAAATTGTGCCGCTATGGCCAAGGTGCACTATCGGAAGAAATAGCCTAAAATGAGTTATGCCGCTTTCATTCTAGGAATTTTCATGCAAAAGGCGCTGCTCGTAGTGACTGATCAATTACGGAAGAAGTTCTTTTGAAAGTTGAGCACGGTTGGCGCATGGCTAGCCACAATGTCGTCAAGGAAGCAAACATCAAGCGCCAAACAGTTTTAAACTATTCGAAACAAGTTATCTACAAAGGAAACTCGATGTTTGGATGCCGCACCAACTGATGTAAAGGGCAGTGAGTCAATTGTATTCCCAGTTGCAAAACTCTGCAACGAAATTCGGCTATTCCTGATCACAGGTGATGAAAAGCGGATCCTATGCGGGCACTAATGGGCAAAGAAAATAATATAGTATGCACAACCCGTGGCAAAGCCCAGACTGATGCCAGAGAAAGTGATGATATGTGTTTAAAAGAGTTGAAATGTAATCATGCAGTAGGGGCTGCTACCAGCTAGCAAAACCATTGATTCGACTGTCAGCCACCAACAAGATTTTAACGAGCCGCTGGAAAAGATCAGTTGAAACTAGTGAACAGAAAAGACGTAGTTTCCCACTATGACTATAAACACTGTTGGCCACCCAGTGAAAACAGAGAGAACTTGTATTGAAACTTTTTAAGTATTCACCTTGCAATTTGGATTTTGTACGCTATCATCTATTTTGATCTCCTTGAAGTCTCCTTGATGGTGTTAGCTTCGTTTCGATGGTGGTATACAACACCACCTGCCCGCTCAGAAACCATAGAAATGCTGTTCTAATAGGAAACATCGGAAAAATAGCAAAAGGTCATCGACTGCAATCGCAAAAGTAGTGTTATTTTAAAATATAAAAAAAAATAGTTATTGTTTGAATTTTAGTTTAAGAAAAATCAACAATTCAGCATATAACTAAGTGTCTGAAAATGTGTACGCCAGTGAGGCAACTGCACACATCAAGTAGCAGAAACATAGTACCATAAGTTTCGCTTTTAATGTTCTATGTAAGCTTTAAAATACATAGACGCAATTCCAGTCTATTGTTAAATAACATGATACCCCAGCGGTAGCACATTTGTGTACTGAATTTAGTAGGTTTCAATTGAAAACAGATGGTCCTGGGAATCAGTCGTCTGAAGCCATACTTAACGGCTATAGCACTGAGCCTAGAATTCGAAAATTTATTTAATTTCATTATATCGTAATAACAACGGTAAAGAATAATGGTGATCATAATCGGTTTTGCTTATCTGGCAAAGTGTATCTACTTTTTCATTCTAATAATTATAATTTGCTGCATCCTCACATTATTGATTCAAATCTTCACACAGTATCTTTCATTATTAGATGGAAAAATTAATAATTTTTCCACTAACGATGGCACAAAGTGTTTTTCGTTTGTTATTAGTGAAGGTGTAGCATAAACAGTGCCTAAAATAGTAATAATAGCAGCAAAACTCGTATCTCTTTACTGTCCTATCGTATCGTAACATGAATAAATTGCAATTGCTCACTGGCCACCTCCTGAATTTAAATAAGGGCCACACCATGGGCCTGCATCTCGCAGCTGCTGTTCACCGCTGGTCGAATTTTTGCCGCGAGTTTTTATGTTTCAACGTTCGCAAATGTCGCCCACGTACCGCGTGCGTGGAAGATCTGTTATCAAAACTGAATCATCTGAAGCAAAATGTGAGAAAATACGTTTATTTATAACTATAGTTAACGGTAAAATGTCAAAAGATACTTATAAAAACAATGCATCGATCAGATAACACTAATTTGATATCGATTTCGCAGAAAGCGCTGGTTGATACTTATTCTAATAATTGATGGAAACGAGCACAGAACTAGATTTTTTTTGACTGGATGATACTGGCAGACGGCCCGACATAACGGTGCTACAAAACCTCTAAGTGTGTAGGCACTTGAATAATTAGCAAATAAGGACTTAGGTACTTTGCTGTGTAAGCAGCAGTGACGAAAATGTCTAATATTTATTGATTCTTCAATTATATATAAGTATGTAATTTGGACATCTACTGCCTCCTTAAGAATTAAATCTTTTTCGAAGTAACGTAGATCGATCACAGATCGTTTTATGTTATACATTTGTTCACGAAGATAAACACATAGTGCTTCCAGGGAAAGTAGGTCTATCATCCGTTATATCGCGTAGATGTACTTACAGAATGTGTGGAGCAGAAGTGAATATCATGGTACATCCATCTTCTTGGATAGTCGAGTAACCCTGTGTCAGTTTAGGTTTAAGAGTGTTACCATTCTGGGTAATTCTAATAAAGATAGTGGGTCTGATGCCGTTTATAATGAAATAATGTACTTATAACTTGGACAACAAACCACCCATTGGGTGTGCTTCAATACGACGTCTGGGGACCAAGTTTGTTATGTTAGGCTGCGCTAATATTGTCTGCAGACGCAGTCATTCTTGGAAGGACCAACAATTTTCTCTGCGAAGTAGTCGCAGTTTGATGTCAAAGACCGTGGAATTATTTTTGCGATTCAGTTGACGTTGAACCTGGCTTTGTATCTCATTCTGTACATAGATATCAACTAAAGGTATATTCCGCTAATGGCTTTTCACATAATTTTTATTGTATTTCTCATGTTAATAGCGTTGCAGTTTGACGCTTTTTTTTTTCCGCTTTCGTCTTTTTAATCTTTCCGCCAGTCTATTGGGTTTTGCGTGCCTTCTCATATGGGCAGAGCGTATGTGCCAGATGCCACGTAGATTACAGAAATTGTTCGACTTTGTTATTCTGGACCGGGCACCATTATCGGACATGAGATTTTTAGGCACCTTAATCTAGAATCTGTTGAAACACCGCATCGTAGTTTCAGCACTATGTCAAAATTCCTCAGACTCAAAGCTCAGTTTCGGTACTCAAGAACATGCACCATTCAAGCCGACTCCTAAAAAAGTAGTCTTTTAGCATTACTAAAAGC